TATTTTATTTTTTTTCTCCAGCAAATGTCAATAAACTACACTGCTGTCTATAAGATATTAATAAGTGTAGCTAAAGAAGTATACAAAAACAATTTTAAATTATTTTGAAGACTTTGAATTTGAAGAAATTTTTTGGTCTGAATTGTCATGTTTCGTGAGAATCACCCATATATGCACAACTTTGAGTGTAGAGTGTCATGTAGACAGGAGTAAGAGGTAAGTTGTTAATTTAACAAATTCATTGAAACTTTATGCAAATTTCTTTGGGCAGTATAGTTGTTTAAATTTTTTTGAAAGATAACAAAGTTTTTTTTCTTTTTTTTATTTTTAATTTTACTACATTTTTGCCTGTAATACCTGATGATTTTTAGGGATTTTGAGGCATAAGATTGCGCCTGTTTCTTAACACAGTTCAGTGGAGAAAAAAAGTATATATAAAGTTGCAAGCAGTTTCCTAGGGTTAAAGTTGCAAATAATTGGTGTAATGATCCAATTGTACTTTTGCTCCAATATTTTATTTTAGTCACGGAAAACATTAAAGCTGTGTCAAAATAAATAAGTAAATAGAAGCAAACCTTTATTTCTTGGAACTTTATAATAAACGAAAAGCAGCTACAGTCCAGAAAATGACACCCAAGTAGTTTTGTTAAAAAATAATGTTGAAAATTTCAGTCTATTAAATCTTAATTTTGAATTTCGCGTTCTTTGAATTGCTTTCATAAATCAAATTTCTTTCAGTATTGTAAAACTCGTGTGCTCAATCATAGTTTTTTTCTTTCAAATATTTATTATTTTATTGGCTGAACACTTTTCGAATTAACATTAAAAATTTAAAAAATTCGAATATGTAGTTTTAAGAGCTATATTGGAAATTTCATGGGAATCGGTTGGACAGTTGTCGAAAAAAATAGGCAAAATTTCGTTTTTTAAAGAATATAAGTTGTATTTTTATAGATACTTCTATTACACTCATTCATGTTCATACTTTATAATTAACAAAAAGAGAAAAAAGTGTCACAATCAAGTTAAATTTCATTTAACTCAAATTACTTTAATTTAATCTCAACTTACAGTTTAGGTGTTTTATTTTAAATCCCCGATTTTCTTATATAATATTTTTAGACATTTTTGTTCTGCGGGAGATATAAAATCAATTTTGGCGATGATTCTAATATCTAAAGATATTTGGCTTCAATAAAACCGTGTAGAAAATACTAGTTGTCATTTAATAGCAGAATATTCTGAATGCACACTGTCAGAAATTTCTAAAAAAATGGTTAAATAACAATTAATTTAACTGTTATTTTACTATACTCAAACAAAACAGTCAAATAACCATAAATAAGATGGTTATCAGTAAGAAGAACCATTTATTATCTGCTTTCACCTAATATAATTAAACAAACCAGCATTTTATCGCACCAACTAAGCCCACCTAATGAAGCCACTTACTTTTTTGCAGCTGAGTACAAATAGCCGAAAGGGCTGATTTGACAATCTCATGACTGATAGAAGGTTCGAGTCCCAGCCTTGACAAAATAAAATTTCCTCCATTCCCTTTAACAAATGAAGAGTTTTCAGTGTCCAGCATTCCCCAAAGTGTAACCCTGAGCTATTAAAATGCAGTACTATTATTATCGCATAGATGGCAGCACCATAAAGCTGCTTAGCGCAAAATACTCTTGTATTTCCCATCTCTTACGCTAGGTGAAACAACCAGATAAGGAAACCACATTCCACGGATCATCTGATAAAGCACAACTCAACCACAACCTAACTCCAATGCCCATTACCAAACGAAAAGCCTACCTTCAATGTATTTTTTTTTCCAGTTTAATTTCTTTTTTATAATTTTGAAACCATACTAGTTGTAAATGGTTTCAAAACCGTAAAGGTATAAAATGTTCTTTTCCTTGTAAACTTTATGTTTAAACTGCTGTCGGCTTTCGGACTGATGGGAAGACTGCTGTCGGTCATTTTACCATAATTTTAGAATGAAAATTGTAACAGTATATATTGAACCCAAACAAATCGCAGAAATATTAGAATTGATATTGAGATTAAAAATAAATCAGTATTAAAGGTTCTTAATGTTTTTAGGTGGCAAAAATCCTAAGCAATATGAAAAAATAAAATTTAGAGAAATTATCGATACTCTCTCCAAATAAGTAGTTATTGCACAAAGAAAAAAAATCTAACTTCAAACTGAGAAAAATCTAAATTAAATCCGATAATTTACAACAGACTGTTTCAAATAAATTAGACGAAAACATCGCAAATCATTTTGAGATTTTCAAATTTTCACCGAATAATGTCTCTTGGAATTCGCCTTATTTCTCATAATATCTCTGTAGGGATTGAAACAAACTACCCATATGGGGCTGTTTAGAAATGCGAGGGATAAATCGGTAAGTCATGGATCGTGGGTGGAATTCTTATTAAAGTGTTAGGGAATGTGGTAAAAGGGAAATTCTTTTTCTGCGTATAATTTAATTTTCAAACAAACTTTTTAATAGAAAAAGAGTTTCTCAATTCAGTTTCTCTTGAAATGATTTATAGGAAGAAGAAAAATTTTAAAAAGTGCAATTCATATACCTTTAATGAGGAACTTCTGGCTAATATATAATGTGCTATTTCGTCTTTGCAGTATGACAAATAAGGGGTGATAAGAACTGTAGGATTATGTCCAGTTTTAATGGAAAAATAGTGAAATTGTCTGTTAACTTGATTACACAACTTGCAGGGAATATTTCTTTAAAAAAAGGTAACAAATATTTTCTTAACAAATATTAACTTCACTGATATTGTTTTTATAATGTTTGATATAGAATGTTTTGTATATATCTATACACCGAAGAGCCATTACATTATGACCACCCTCCATCTATAACAATGGGCTCGCCCAGGTTTTCATGGTTTCTCTCGCAGGAACAATGTTTTCATGGGGCACATTAGGACCCATAATCCTCATAGAACAATCCCTGACGTCTGTAAGCTACTTGAACATAGTTGCAGACCAGGTTCACCCATTCAT